CTTTTGGCCAGTGGGAGAGGTTCGAACTCCAGCAACCTGAGGCTGAGAGCTTTGTGGAAGCAGCCACTTAAAGGCCTGAGCTAGGGCCATGCCCCCTAAATAATTTTTTTTTTTTGCGGAACCAGGGATTGAACTCAGGCCCTTGTGTTTGCCAGGGAAGTGCTTATTCCACTGAGCCATCTCCCCAGCCCCTTAAATAATATTTTTGATAAAAATAAACAGATTAAGCATTTGCCTTAAAGTGAGTAAAAGAGAAACCCCAGAGGATTTCATGTGTGCTGCTCACTGATTAAATGATCTATTAGCAAAAATACCCAAACTTTGGTATATTTTATTTGTAATACCAGATTCCTCATTGTCTTTTCATCTTTTTTTTTTTTTTTTTTTTTTTTTTGGTGGTACCAGGGATTGAACTCAGGACCTTGAGCTTGCCAGGCAAGCACTTAATCCACTGAGCTATCTCCCCAGCTCCTCTCATTGTCTTCTGATCTTTAAAATGTTCTATTCTCCTTTTAAAATATTTGTTCTGGCTACCACAATCCTGGATTCTTGTGTGATCTAATCCTACCCCCCCATGATTTCTACAGTGTTGTTAGAATCAGTCAGACTGCAGCAGAGGATCTGTTTGCTGTGGAGACTTGTTGTTAGGGAAACTGATCAGTGCTCTGGTTCTGTACATTTATACTGTTGAGTCTGCCTCGGGGCAGCAAGTTACTGCTAGTACAAATAGAAAATAACATAATGGGATATTGTTAAGCAAGAGGTGGATAAAGATATCAACACTTTTGAGGAGAATGAATTTTAGAAACAAATTGATGGATAACAAACATTAATGTTGAATAGCTGAACCTTTAGATTTTCACAATATAGTTTTGAATGTCTGGAAAGACAGGTTAAATTCAAAACCACACAGGAAACCTTAAGTACAAATTATACTCTAATGTTTGAAATTATGAAATTGTAAGACAAAAAGGACACCTATCCTGAAGGACATAGTTTAAAGTGATCATCCTTAATAGCAGTGAAAGACAGACAACCTGGAGGCAGATCAGAGGTAAGGGTTGAGACTGTTTCTTTTTGTACCACCCTCATTTCCCGACTTACTGCTGTAAGAACTCCATGGCACACAAATGAAGTGTATCCTCTTAGAGGTAAAGTGAAAAATAGCTAATATTCTAGCAACAACAAAGTAACTATAAGAACTAAAAAAATTAAAACATCAAAAATACATACAGTAAATGTAAAAAAGAAACTCAAGTGTCTCTGGTTGCTTGATTTTTCAACAGGGTGATAATACTATTCATTCTGGAAACAACTGACTATTCAATAAATGGTGTTGGGACAACTGGATATCCATATGCAAAAGAGGCAAGTTAAACCTTTACTTCATACAATCTCAAAAATTAATTAAAAATTGATCAATGACATACATTTAATTACTGAAATTATAAAATCTTACAAAAGAAAACCAGAAGCAGAATTTTGTGACCTATTACTTGTCAATGGTTTCTTAAATATGACCTTAAAAGCACATGATGAAAAGAACAAATACATAAATTAGACTTTATTAAAATTAAAAGCTTGAAGGCCAGCCAGACAGCTCAGTGGACTAAGGCACCTGCTTAGGCAGAGTGCAGGGACCAGAGTTTGATTGCTGGCACCACAAGCCATGCCAGCCCTGCCTCTGGGGCATGGTGAAACTGCAGGACTGAGACTGGGTGTGGTGGCACATGCCTGTAGTCCCAGTGCTTGGGAGGCTGAAAACAGAGAATCACTATGAGTCTGATCTGTGTAGTGAGACACTGTAGACCCTGTACTAAATACATTTAAAAAAATTAAAAACTTGTAGGCATCAAAGGATAGGATATTATTAAGAAAGTGAAAAATCAACCCACCACAGAGTAGGAGAGATAACTTACACATCCATATATCTCTATTGTCCTAATATATAAGAATTCTCACAAATTGATACCAAAAAGGCAAAAAAAAAAAAAAAAAACAAAAAACAAAAAAAACCCCCTCAATTTAGAAAATAGGCAAAAGAAACAGATACTTATCCAAAGAAAATATACAAATGGCCAACAAATACATGAAAAACTGTTGAACATAATTACTTCCTGGGGAAATGCAAATCAAAACCACAATGAGATACTACATATCTACTAAAATGATAAAATAAAAATGTCAGGTAATAACAAGTGCTGGTGAGGATGTACAGAGATTAAAAACTTCATACACTGCTAAGGGATTGTAGAAATGGCATAGCTACTTTGAAAACAGTTTGGTAGTTCCTGAGAATGTTAAACGCATATATCTATTTACTCCAAAGTATATACTCAATTCTTTTTGGCTACGGGGTTTTTGTTTGGATAATAAAAAGTTTTGAAAGTATGGGGGTGATGGTTATTCAACATGATGAATGTATTTACTCCCACTGAATTTTATACTTTAAAAATTTCAAGGTAATAAATTTCATGCTACAGCAAGCAGGGGACTGGTTAATGAAGAAAAGGGTGGCTAAAATTGTACTATAAAAATTATATACACTTATTGAAATACATTATTCAGGATGTGATAAAAGGATTTATTGGTCCATTTTCCTGGAACAGTGTTAAGTTATAAGTGGGGAAAACTGACATAGTTAATAAGATATAATTCAATAAAAAGACAAAGCAAACAAAGTTGTGCAAAGCGAGGTGTGGTAGTGCATGCCTACCATCCCCACTCAGGAAACAGAGGTAGGAAGATTATGGTGAGTTCCAAGCCAGTCTGGGTTATATACAATAGTGAGTTCAAGGTCAGCCTGAACTACAATGGAAGACCCTATCTAAAAATGTTGTGGTTATCAAATTGCTAGTATAACTACATTGGTTGTTCAGATTGATGATGTGTTTAGTCTATACCCATAATAGTCAGCTGATAAACAGATATAACCATCCAGTGTGTCTACTTTCTTTCTCTAATATGGTTGAAGTGTGTAAGCTTGAATAACTGCTAAGAGTACAGAGGGAGAACGGGGGAGTGCCATCATGGAAATGGCAGAGTAATGTACTTAAGGAATCAGTCCTTCAGTAGAAACAAGCATAAGCTAAGAAAGACTGAGAAAATCCACTTAAAAAAATTCTGTTATTCAACATTTACAGCAAGCAGGGACTAGTTAATGAAGGAAAGGGTGGCTAAAATTTAAAAGTACTGGAGATGGTACGTGGCTATCCTGGTGCAACTTGTAGATGTTAGGGACTCACATGGACCTTGTTCTCAAGATACTGTGGTGTGAGATTTGACCTGTGAGGGACTGGCAGATGCTGACTTTTGTTTTGAATCTTCCTCTTGCACTGGGGCAGCTTACCTGTAATAGCAGCATCTTTGAAAAGATTTACAGACACATACATGTCACGCCTACCTGGGACAAGGGGTACAAGATATGATAAGGGGTAGGAAACATTCAAAAGCCTGCAATAGAGGAAGCTGATAATAATGGTTACTAGGCCAATAGAGGCCCACCAGGTAATTTTATATTCCTGGGAAACTGGAGTATAATGCATACATCTAGGAATTGGATATATACTCAGAAAAGACTCAAGAAGACCCTAGGCTACAACCTCTGGCAGGTTTGTGTGCTTTGTGCAGCAAAGGGTAAGGCTTAAAGAAAAGTTTTAGGCAGTCTGGTTTGGGGTCAAGGAATACTGTAATTCATAGCCAAACTGCAAAGACTAGGAGAATACTACTGTTTTTCTCTTTGACTGTAGGCTTTTAAGGAAATCCATCAGTTCACTGATCACAAGAGCTAAAGGAAATAACAAAGACAACAAAATAGACTTTGATGACTACCTACAACAAGAAATATAGCCTTTATAAAATAGTTTGGGGCCAGGGAGATGTCTCAGTGGAATAAGCGCTTCCCTGGCAAACGCAAAGTTCTGAGTTCAATCCCCGGTTCCGCAAAAAAAAAAAAAAAAAGTTTGGAAAAGTCACAAAAGAAATGGACGACTACAGAGGGAGACAATACTTCTACAGTAATCAGACTGTAATATTCAAAATGCCCAGTGTTTAGAAAACAGATCCTTATATTCCACATGTCCAGTTTTTAAATTTAAAAAATTACAGGGAATACAAGAAAAATAGGGCCCATTTTCAAGAAGAAAGTAAATTGGCAGAACTACTCTTTAGGAATTCCAGACATTGGATTGATTAGACAAAGACTTTAAATCACCTATCTTAAATGTATTCATAAGAGCTAAAGGAAATCACAAAGAACAACAAAAAATAGAAAAATGATGATCAAAATAAGAATTTCAATAAGGAGAAACTATATAATGAAACCAAATAAAAATTATGGAGATGAAAAGTTTAATAGCTGACATGAAAACTTCACTGCAGAGGTTCATCAACAGTTCTTCAGCAGGCAGAATAAGGGGTCAGTGAAGTGGAAAAGACAATTTAAATTATGCCATTTGGGCAGTAGAAGAATAAAGAAAAGTGAACATAGTCTAAGGGACCTGGGGATGACACTGAGTGTGCCAATATATGCTTTTATGAGACTGAAAGAGATTATCAGGAAGAATATTGAAGAAATAGTGGCTGGAGAGTTCCCAAATTTGATGAATGACAGGTATCTACATATTGAAAAAGGTGAATGAACTCTAAGGAGGATAAATTCACAGATTCACACCAAAACACATTATTATCAAATTACTGAAAGCCAACACAAAAAGATAATCTTATAAACAGCATGAGAAAAATGACTCCTGATATGTAAGCAACCCTCAATAAAATTAACAGCTGATATTTCTCATCTAAACCACAAAGGCTAGAAGTAAGTGGGATATATTTCAAGTGCTGAAATAAACAAACCATCAACCAAAAATTGTATATTGGGCAAAACAATCTTTCCGAAATGAAGAGGAAACTAAGATATTCCTAGATAAACAAAGGCTAGCGGAGCTCATCACTCACACACCTGCCATTAGCCACCTCCTTCCTAAAAATGCTTAGGGAAGTCCTTGGGACTGAAAATAAAGGAAACTAATTTGTAGCTATATGGAGGCACAAAGACTACAGTTAAAGTAACTACATGGGTACCACTATCATGACTACGTTAATGATAATAAGAAAACATGGATTAATGTATCACACAGCAATTCCACTTCCACTTCCAGGTGTGCACAGGAAAGAACTGAAAAGTGGTACTGAAACAAATCCATGCACACATACAGTCTTAGCAGCACTATTCACAAAACCAAAGGGCAGAAATAGCTCGAATGGTTGAATCCATAAACAAACCTTGGTATATGCACATAATGGAGTATTATTTAACCACAGCACGAATGACTCACTAATACATGCTATGATGTGGATGAATAATCACTATTAAACAGATCACATATGTATGAATACAGTCAATGGGATATCTACAATAATAAATTCACAGAGACAGAAAGCAAAGTGATGGTCACAAGGGGAAAAGGTCATGGAAAGGATCTGCTGAGTGTTACAAGGGTTTACTTCGGTATAATTAAAATGTTTTGGAAGTGAACTAGGAAGACTGGAGTTACCATTAAATGAAAGTGGGAAGATGACGTTTGGAAAAAAATCTGCAAATAGTAGGCCTAACAAACCTCTTGGATGAACAAATGGAAATGGTAAGTGGTAATTTGATATAAGAGGCAAAAATTTACAGGGAGACATAATCTTGAAGTCTATACGCTACTGACTACTAAGCTGTCATCCTGACTGTACTCTACAGTCTAGATGCACATCTAGACTTAATATAACTGCTTAATATTCTCACATGGGTAGGTAATCTAAGTAGGAAGAGTAATCTTAGTTTTGTCAATAAAGTTCTGATTATCTCTTAATCCCAAATCTGTTTCCTTACTTAGTTTCATAAATGCTACCACTGTTGTACCTTGTGATGAAAGCCAAAACCTAAGAATTCTTCTTGATTTTTCTTTTTCCTCCACATTGAAGCAGCATAATCCAAGAACAAGTTCTATTAGGTCTGTTTTAAATGATCCAATATTTTACTCTTTCTCCCTACTTTTATCCTAGTCCAAACTGTGCTTATCTCTTACTTGGAATCCTAACAAGAGAATCTTAACTTGTTTCTTTCTTTGCTATCATATAGTAGCCAAGATAAGCATATGAAACCGTCAATGAGATTATATGTGGTACATGAATTTGATCACAGCTGAGTGTCATGGAGGTCACTGAATACCTGCCAAATGGAGAATGAATGAATGACATGCCTATGTCTAAACAATGCTTGTAAACTTTTTCTGCAAAGGACTAGAGAGTAAGTATTTTCATTTTTGTTGCCTAGGTTGTCTTTGCTAAAACTACTTAATTTTACTATTATGGTATAAAAGTACCTGTGGATGTGGCATGAACATGGCTATGTTCCATAATACTTTAGATACAAAAACAGGTGGTGGCAGTGGTAGAAGGAGTTGATGAGGGTTACTCTGAGTAACTAATTTAAAGATAACAATACACAAAGTATTAACCATTGTTATTCTATTATCTTGCTTTGAAAGTGATTTATTCTTTTTTCACTTTAAAATAAAATTTTCAAAGAACAAAATTTAAATTTTGTAACAACTATCATTCTTAGTGTTACTACTAGCATACAAAATATCTACACTTCATTGTATTAGTCTACAGGGTCCTTTAAGACCTGACTCACATCTATCTTTCCTGACTCATATTACCTTTTCCTCTTACTACTTTCCTGTTAACTTGTTAGATGATTTTGGTATTTTATCAGCTAAACTAATCTTTCTTTACCCCACCCTGGACCTTTGCTATTTGCTGTTACCTCTGCCTGAAATGCTCCTCTCCCAGGTCTTTGCACAGCTTATTTCTCACGTGCCCAACTTCCTCACTAGATCTCTCCTTGCCAGTCTACCTGCTTCTCCAGTCTCCATGATTCCTGGACCCCTTCACAACATTATTATTTGTTTTTGTTTATTTATCATTATTTATTTTATCCTTTTACTAGGATTTTGCTTATTATATTACTTTCTCCTTAGTGGCAAGACCAAGCTCATAAGTAGATAATAAGTATGTGTCAGATAAGTGACTAAAATTGATAGTATTTTAGAAATACAAAATGCTATTCAAATCGTAGCATTCTTTTTTTTTTTTTTCTAATGGAAAGAAGATGAGAGAAGAAAAAGAAAGACATGCAGGGTATAGTAGAGACATCACTGGATTAGAAAATCCTTGATTTGAATCCTTGGAAAAATATCCCAGTATCTGAAAACCTCAGTTTTCTTTTTTCCAAAAGAAAATATTACCTTACTAATAAACATTAAAAAAATTAGAAAATACTACAAAGAAGCATAAAAAAGTCAAAACCTGCAAGTTTGTGAGAAATGATAAGGTAATCCAGAAAAAAATACCAATGAGCATCAATGTTAGCCCAAATTTTCCCTCCCTCCCTCTCTTTCTTTCTTTGTATTTTAGGGAAGGGTCTACAGGGTGTTCAGGATCTTACTACCAGATCAGACTCATAGTGATCCACCTGTTTACAGCCTCCTAAGAGCTGGGATTACAGGTGCATGCTACCACGCCCAGTCTCAACTGCCATCTCACCATGCTCTGGGGGAGGGTTGGCATGGCAGGCCCGGGATTGAACCCTCACCCCCCACGTCTGCTTGCAGGTGCTTTAATCTGCTGGGCTATTTGGGTGGCCCTTAAATTTTCCATTTCTACTGTAATGACTTTTAGTACTTTTATCAACTAGAAAAGTTAGACGCTGAATTTAACTTAAAAGTACTTCTTTTGAAATAATTTTAGATATAAAATTTAGCTATAAAATAGTACAATGAACTCTTATGAACTCATCATTCTTGGAATTTGACCTTCTGAGTTACAGGTTTTGATATTTCTACTTAATAAGAGAAAAAGAACAGATTCTGGGTCCTATAAAATAGATTAATACCTTGAATGGTACAATTTCCAATATTAGGAATTGTCTACGAGTTGCAAGTAAAACAGAAGTCTGTTGGTTAAGAGATAATGTATAGTAATGACCAAATGCAACAAGTCCTTTTGCATTGCTCAGTGGACCCAGAGAGCTGTTAACATTGTCACAGTGAATCTATTCTAAACAAAGTCAAACTTTTTGTAATGTTTTACTTGGACAGATTAACCTGATCCTCCTATAAACATAAACAGAAGACAATATATTCAAAACATCCCCATGCTTAGAGGGGGACTTGTGACACTAGTTCTATTTGGTTGCAATGGTGCATTCAAAGACCACTAGATAATGCAACTCTCAGAAGTGCTGACAACACATTTTGTTACTAAACAAACAGGACAACCAATTGTCCCAAGTTCTTAACCATTCATGCCAGGCAAACTCTTTAAAAGCCTCACTTCAACTTTTGATAAGATCACTCACTCATCAATGGCAGTCTTCAAATGACCTTTTAGAGGGTGTTATAGAAGTGAACAGAGTGTGACAGACATAATGTCAATATAAACATTTTATGAGGTGATACTTATACACTAGTCAAAGCATAGAAATCAGCAGAATTCTCTTGAAAAATAATGTTCTTAATTTGAATAAAATAATTCATAACAGCCATCAGGGTTTTCAGCATATTTCAGAAAAAGATGGGTATCTACTCAGAATTTAAAGTTAATTTTAAATCATCTAAAAAACCCCACTGAAGACATAGAGGCAAAAGTAAATATATTTAGAATATCTTAATTCATAAGGAGCAAGGAACTAATAAAAGGGAAAGCTATTTATAGACCTACAGAAACATAAAATAATGGATAGAACAAAATAAACATAAAGGATTAGATACCTTCTCTTCCGGTATACTGTAACGTACATTTTCCAAAAATACTGATGTATTTTCCACATTTGTATATCGTAAAAGAATATGAGCAAAATCTTCCTCACTGATAGTATTCATTCCATTAGAATAGGAAAGGAATTCTATTTCTAGCACTTCTGTTTGGAGGTTATCCATGAATCTATAAAAAAAGTATAATAAACAATGAATAAGATTAAAGTCCAAATACTGTCAAGAAGGGTTACATGACACTGATTTAATTATACAGAAATTTCTCTGTACAGAGAGAAAGCAAAGAGTAAAAGTTATGAGAGGCTTTCCCATTCAATGACCATGGCACTTCAGGCAAGCAACTTAACCTCACAGGGCTTGTTTTCCTCCTGTGGAGTGGGGCTACTAATGCAGTTTGCAGAATGGTGATGCTTGTTATTATTGTGGCTTACTCAGATGAAGAACCTGGTCTTTCTTCTGAGTACACAATAGATAATAACCCAGGTAGACATTTTAACATTCATTAATTGTGTATTATAATTACTGATATAAGTTTAGAGGCATTGATACAAATGTGTATTTATCATACAAAGTATCTTTAATTATGATGAAAATAGCATAGTGCTATTAGGGTACCAGATTATCTTTAAAGACCACCTTATTTTAGCATTTTAATAATATTTTAGTAAAAATCAAGCTCACCTATAAAAATCTTCAAAGTTGAGCTCAGCTTTTCCTTTCTTTCCAAAAAAGTGGACAAGAAGTGTAGTATCTGCTACTAAACTTGTGATGTCATCAGCACGCTTAAAAAACCCCACAAATTAAGTTAGTTGCAATAAAACAAAATAGAGATATTCAGTATCCCCAAATAACTTTATCAACACATAAATATCAAAACTCCATTGTATTAGACCAGCCAGACGATTCAGTGGACTAACGCACCTGCTTAGGCAGGGGCAGGGACAGGGATGGGGTTTGATCCCCAGAGTGCCATGCTGGCCCTGCCCCCACCCTAGTGTGCTGAGATGGCAACTGAGAATGGGAGTGATAACACCCGCCTGTAATCCTGGTGCTTGGGAGGCTGAAAACAGGAGGATCACTATGAGTCCAATCTGTGTAGTGAGACTCTGTAGACCTTGTACTAAATATAACACACACACACACACACACACACACACACACACAAAACAAAAACAAAACTCAGTGGTATTAACATTTTAGTGAAATGCAATGCTAAATTTATAAATGAAATTATAATTAAAATGAATTTCACATTTTGAAAATAGAAATGTGAAAAAAACTGATGTTTTTCATGAAAATATGATAGGCTATTTTGATAAATTTTCAACCTCAAATTATGCACATACATTGTAAATTATTTAACATGGTTTAAGTTCTCTAGTAATCATCTAAATGTACTGTTTTATTAAATAATTAATTAGATTTGGATTTTCCTAACAGACCTGAAGAATCTATTTCTTCCAGGATATCCAAGAGGCAACTTTTTCAGGTACACTGAATATATGGAGCTGACACAGAAGGACTAAAAGCTTCATAAAACAGTTTCCTTCCACCAAGATACTTTCCTTTTAAAAGTTTACTTCACAAAAAAGCTGGTGAGCAAAAGTCAAGAGTCAGATTTCTGGCACCAAGTGCTGACCCTGCTCATTATTTGAGACGTTAATCTTAGAAAAGTTCATCTTTCTCAGATATGATGTTCAAGAATAATAATAGTACATATGCATGAGACAGCACATGTAAATTTGTAGCTCTATGACTAACATACTGTAAGTGCTGAAGAAATATTAGTTAAATCAGCTGTAGTGAAAATAAGAAATACAAAAGAGGATGAGGATGTAGCTCAGTGAGAAGAACCTGGTCAAATTCCAGTATAAGTAGAAAAGGAAAAAAAGTTTGCTGTTGTTTTTATCACGTTAATGTTTCAAGAAGTTGAAAAAACTAGATGACAAAAAGATAGTAATGTTGAAATGCTATAAAAAGGAATTTTTTTTCATGGTACATGGTTTTTGTTATTGAAATACATGCTATAAAGATTAAAAAAAAAAAGTTTTAACATGAGAGGTTCTGGGGACATCAATAGTTACCAAACTCAGAATATATGATTAGACAATGTTTTCTCTAGTGTTGTGATATTCTTTACCACAAAACAGAGAACACTAAAACAAGAGACTTAGTTTTATATAACACTCTCATTTAGAAGTTCTCAGGTCGACTAAGCACAGCAGAGCTTCACGTAGTCTTTAAGCACCTAAATCTTCTTAGACTCAGGTTGCACGTATCCAGGTAATCCAGAACCACAGAGGCATGGGTAATGGCTTGACATTAGAGGAAAAAAATCAGAAAAGGGAAATAGAGAAAACTTTTCCCCTAGTTAGTGAAACAGAGTACTGTTCCTGCTCAGAGTCATTGAAAACTACACCAATGACCTGAGTATCTGTGTTGCATAACTTAACTTACAGGAGAGTTGAGATAAAAATAGAGGCCTTATCCTCTTGATTCTTTGGAAAGATAAAATTAATCCAGTTGTTTTCATAAAAAATGTGAGAAAAAGCCACAAAAAACCCCTATGGGCCATTTCCATAAAAGGCTATTATCTAATTTTGTTTTGATTGAAAATCACTTTAGGCTGGGGGCTTGCACAGCTCCGTGGTAGGGTATGCTTACGATGCCTCAGGTCCTGGGTGAATCCCCAACACCATACATACATACACACACATACACACATAAAATTATTTAAATGATTTCCAAGACAATGAAATAAATTTACATAAAATGAAAATTTAACAATTAAAGTTTTAAAATCATCTTTCAATATTTTTCTGGTTATAATGTAATAGTAATTTACTCTCTCCAAGGGACAGGAGAAATCTTCAGAAATAATGAGATGTTTGAATAATTTATTGAACCATTTAATACTATTAGAGTATAAAGCAAAAAAAATTAAATTTCATCTGTAGGATTCAAAATAGTGGTATGGACAGACTATAATCAATAGAGGCACAATAAGTTTATCATGTACTCTAAATTTATTATATATGATTTTGGTTAAAAAGTGGTGTCAGCTGTGACATGCAAATTTTGTATGTGTGATTTTATAATAATTACAAAGACATGGTTTTACTATAATTAAAAAGATAGTTGGAAACACTCGAATAAAAATATGAAAAGCAGGCTGGAGAGATAGCTCAGCAGACTAAGCAACAGCTTATGCAAGCACAAGGACTGGGGTTCATGCACTTGTTGTTTCATCCTTGTGACTCTAAAACAAAATAAGGATTGATGACCAAAATGGCAAACAGGTGAGGATCTTGTTAAGGGTTAACTGTACCTCTGCGAGGTCTGAAAAGAGCGCTTGGCTTGTGTTTCGTCTCAGTGTGTCCCAATAGCTTCTGGAGACAAGTTCCTCAGCATCTGGTTTAAGTACCTACAGGAGTTTTAAGGAACACAACTGAATTCTAAACAACAGTTATAAAGAGTGACAACTTACACACTTTACATCTCTTTTCACCAATCTTAAAAGAAAACACATTAGCTTACCTTTTTGTTTTTTGCTGCACAGAACAGTACTGTGTTACATAGCTGCCAAACCTCTGGTGTTTTCAGAGGTGTAATGGTATATAGTCACTATTTCTAAGCACACCATGGCTTTGTTAAAAAGCATCAAAGTCTCCTATCTTTTCCTCTTCCCTTAGACTTAGGCATAACTTCTAAGAATATGTGAAACAAAAATTTTGTTCACATTTTGTGTGAAGTAAATTCATATCAAGGTTTTCATAAATTTATAGCAACCTGTTAAAACCATACCTTAGAAATAAATTATTTCTGACTATCATACATTTTGTTAATGTACAAAAATCAAAATAACCTTATCCATACATTAGTAAAAAATAGTGTACATTGATTTAGAGGTTATGAAAAAGAAATATACCTGTTCAGTGTCAAAACAGCCAAAAATGGGTCTTTGGTTGGTGTCCACTGCACAAAGCTAAGCCACTCTGTCGCCTGTGACAAGGACAAGGCACCACCTTCTTTCAGTCCTAGCTGGTGCACTGCTAGAGGCACCAAGAGGAAGAGCAGCTCACTTTTCTACAGAAAGGGTAGACACAAGCCTTACCTGAACTTTTAAACAAAGCAATCTTCTTTATTTTTAAAAGTCTGGTGTGAAGTACAGCATGCTGGTGCATATCCATAATCCAAGATACTTAGAGGGTTGAGGCAGCAGGATAGTCAATCTGAAACTAGCCTCAGAAATTTAGGTCTACAGGGTACAAAGACCCTGGGTTCAATCCCTGGTCCCATAAAAATCAATAAATTAAGAAATAAATGAAAATGAAAGTCTAGTGTATTAATAAAATTATAGTGCAACTAAGAATTATTAAAAAATCTTCTAATTTTGTGTGCTAGATATTTTTATTAGTGAATATTAAATGTACAACATAATGGGTTTCATTCTGAAGTTTTCCTATTACCCTCTTGCTTTTAATGTTAATCTCATCCACTCAGAGGTGGGGTCTGTGAAGGTGACTCGATTACGTGGCTATCACTGATTTGCTGTGAGGAGCTGGGGCCTGGTTACAGAAGTGTCACTGGAGGTATGACATGAAATTCTGTATCTCCCTCCCTGGTCGCTCTTCCTTCCCATGTCTGCTCCGGGTTCCATGGTGTGAGCAGCTTTTCCTGTGAGCCTGTCTCCTATGCCTTCCTGCTTATGGACTAAACATGCGAGCCAAAATCAACTTCCCCTTTAAATTGCTGCATTGAGTATTGTGTCCCAGGGATAAAAAGGAACTAAGACAGAGAATCTACTCATCACTTTCTAAAAAGTTTTAAGCAGATACTGCTGAAAAAGTAAGATTACCAAATACAGATCCAGTGCAGTTCATTTTCTTAAATTCATGTCTGCAATAATTTCAATAGATACGAACTAAATTCTTACACTCAGATACCATTATATATTTTGAACATAGATAAATTTTAAAAATTATTCCGTAAAAAGTTAATACATAATTTTTTTAAAAAAGAAGTTTGTTAAACCACCAAACTAGAAAATAAGGCCTACTGTAACTGTATACTGTTACTAGGAGAACAGTAGGAATGATTCCTTCTGGGAATCCATGTCTCTTTCCTACACCAAACAATGGTCAGTCTCACAAATACTCATATACCATGCTACAGAATATTTACAACATAAAAGAAGATAACATTGGTTTAGCACATCATATTTTATAAACATAGAAAGAAAGCAAATATACTAAAATCAAGTATCTGAATAATGAAGTTAGGCTAAGTTTTATTTTCATTTTGTTCTCTATATCTTAAAATATGTATTTGTCAGAATAATAAATTAAAAAGATGAACTAAACCTTTGAAATTATACACCTTATTTTTATTTTATGTATGTATGTATGTATGTATGTATGTATGTATGTATGTCTGTATTTTATTTTTGGTGGAACCAGGGATTGAACTCAGGCCTTATGCTTGGCAGGGAAGCGCTTATTTTACTAAGCCATCTCCCTGGCCTCCCACCTTGTTTAGAATGTAGCTAATCAGTAAGTTTCTTTTGCAGAAGGCTTTCCTACCCATTTTTCTGGCTGCAAAGACTGTGCTAGAATATGACTGACTTGCTATAACTAGATATACTTGTTTTTGTTTTATCTTATACAATCTTTTAACTTCTAACAATTGTATCCTTGGTGCTATAGTTTGTGCCTATTTGTCCCCCTAAAGCCTCATGCAGTCATGGGACAGCAGACTTCCAGAGTTTGTGATTGATTCATAATCCAATGCTGGGATTATGGGTGTGAGTGCTACATCCGCCCTGGGCCAGGTAGCCTGGATGCAATGTAAGGAAGAGAGGCTTGCCTCTGCTGCTGCTGCTGCTCCCTTTTCTGCTCTTGCTGTTTTCTGCCACTGTGAACTGTTGTCCTCTGCCAAGTGCCACCTGCCTTAGAGCCAGCTGAGTATGGCCTGAAACCTCCACAAACTGTGAGCCAAATACACCTTTCCTTCCTTTTTTGGATGTCGGGTATTTTGTCACAGCAACAAGAGAAAAATAACCAAGACGCTTAGAGTAATTATTCCTAGATACTATAAATCCAAAATAGCTAACAGATTAGTGATAAGCTTATATGTATCTGTAACACACTCATTAATTCCTATATGTATCTGTTCTGAAACAAATGTTTAATTATTTAAATGAAAATATGATGAAATTCAGAGTACATTTTTAGAACATGTAAAACTATAGGAAGTTGTAACACTAGAGAAATAATACAATATTTAAAACAAACTTAAAGTAGATAGGAAAATCAAAACTAGAATTTAATAACATGAAATGCAAAGCAAACATGAAACCAGAAAATATGCATCTGGATTACAGAAAGACCGCAGGGGAAGTACTCGAATGTAACTGAGCATCATGATGATACGAAACAGATAACTCTGAATGCTTTGGTAGGTAAAAATACACTGCAATTTGTAATGAGTTTCTGCAGTCCTGAGTATCTATGATCTGTGCATTAAGGCTTCTCACCAGAGGTATCATGTTTAGTGTAAATTTTTGTAAGAGACAAAAGGACACAAATATAGGTTAGAAGAACTTCAAAAATGGATGATACAGTGCCAGCCAGATAGCTTGGTGGATTAAAGCACCTGTTTTGGCAGATGCAGGGAGCAGAGTGCCATGCTGGTCCACCCCAGGGCGCACCGATTGAGACTGGGCATGGTGGTGCACACCTGTGATCCTAGCGCTTGGGAGGCTGAAAACAGGAGAATCACTGAGTCCAATCTGTGTAGTGAGACCCTGTAGACCATGTATTAAATAAATTAAAAAAATTAAAAAATGGATGTTACAGGCAAAATGAGTTCTGAATACATTGACCCCAAGTTGAATTTACTTTTTACCTTAGATCAGAGTTTGTTATTGCTAAAACTCCTTTAAATTTTGTAGTTTTGGTCGAGTTCCCTCTGCCTTTTTGCCTGTCAATGCAGCATCCTACCCAAGCTATTCCATAAAATGTATTATACGAAAGAAAGGAAAATTTTCCTTTCCTGTTTCTATTACCTTCTCCTTTCCTCTCCTCTCTTCTCTCCCCTCCCCTCCCTTACCCTCCCCTCCCCTTGTCTCTCTGTCTGTCTGTCTCTCTCTCTGAAAAGATTTCCCTAAGGTGCTAAATTGCCCAACTCCTGATCCTTCTGCTTCAGCTGCAATTACAGGTGTGCATCACCATTCTCTGCTGCAGGTATGAGGGAAAAATTCAGAGAAGAAAAACCTAAGAATTTTACTTCGAAGAAGTGTTTTTAAGTGGGTCTGTGAAGAATCTTCACAAAGATATTACTCACAATGCAAAGTTAATAAAGCATAAAACACTGGCTACCATGACAGCCATTAGAAACAATAATAGCTGAGACTTCAGATATTGAAGTGAATAGATATAGAATATGAAATAAGTTTAAAGAATATAAAGCTACATTTGAAAGAATTATTCGGGAAAAGAGTACAGATACTGTCTAACCTAAAATCTTATTTAAAATATATTTATTAAAATTTAAATGACAGAAAGAGCAAATATCTTCTAACCTTAAAAGAAAAAAATAACTTCAGTTAATTCAAAAGAAAGTGGAAAAGAAAAAACAATGGCATATATAATAACATGACTAAAATTCAAATCAGTCGGTAACCATAGGTAATATAAACTGAATGAATTTGCCAAAACTAGAAGATTGTTACCCAGGATAAAAAGCTAGTACAACTCACAAAATAAACTGTTACAAAGGATTCACATAGTAAGAAAGGACAGAAATTGAAAAGTGTAACAGGCCAGTGATAATTAAAGCCTAGTTATTAGCTCCAACCTTCTCAGTGTGAATAACAAAATGTGAGGTAGATTCTTTAAGCACCTTAAAGACATTTGCTTTTGGCACTGTAATGAGTTTTTCACTGACAGTGTACAAGTAATGATGAACTGGTATCAATGAGGCAGAGTCATTTTTTCTTTCAGTGACATATAGTTGAGAAAAAGAAAAAAACAAAAAGAAGTTCTACTTAGGAATGCACTCGCTTAGAACTCTGAGTAGACATCTTTTTATATTAGGTGTAAAGAAACAGGAAGAATGCATAAAATCCTTTTGCTGCATACTGAAGTATTACAGCTGTCGACAGAACATTTGGCTGAAGGTTTGTGCTACAAGCTAACCTAGTCACTTTTTTTGATGAATCCTCATATTTACTTGAAAGAGCAACTGATAAGTTATGTTATTCAGGTTTTGTGTATTTGGCTGACTTGTTTCAGAAAGTGAATTATGTGAGCATGTCATTTCAAGGTAAACAACTGAGACCACTGGTTGCCAAATAACAGTCTACCCTTCTGCTTCCAGACTGCTGCCATCATAGGTGGCATGCATGCTCCTGGGAAGGGCCTG